CACTATACAAGATGTGCATACAAACAGAAGCGAATAAATAAAGGAGCCACAAATCATTAGTTACAGTGCATTTGCAAATTGTATTAAACCAGACTGGATGAATTCAACATATAATAAATGGTTTATTTGCATGGTTTATTTGCAAATTGTGTGTTCCGATATCTATCTCATTTGAAATATCAAGTGAGTAACCTTTGCTTCTTGCTATTGAAATACCTATGGTCTACTGATATATTAACCTTTGCTTCTTGCTATTGAAATACCTATGGTCTACTGATATATGAATTAAATGAATGAATCTCTTGCCCTATGGCCTATGGGTGATTTTGGTCTACTGATATATGAATTAAATGAATGAATCTCTTGCCCTATGGCCTATGGGTGATTTTTGAACACTAGGATTCATTTTGACAACTTTGTTGACCATATTATTGCTTCCTTCTTGTCTCTCCATCTGTTTCCATTTTTTCCATTTCATATCAACATTACGGACAAAAAAATAAAGAACATGTCTTATCACTATATCTATCTTGCCATCAATAAAATCTCCTATAATTTCCTTCATCATTTATAAATTATAATGCTGGTAAAGACAAAGACAGGTGAAGCTGTAGTGATCGTTTGATTTAATCTCCTATAATTTCCTTCATCATTTATAAATTATAATGCTGGTAAAGACAAAGACAGGTGAAGCTGTAGTGATCGTTTGATTTCTTTTTTTTTTGCTTCAAGTTTTTTAGCAGACAATTAGTTCATATTTTTCTAGAATTGCCAAAGCTCTTGGATAAATACATGCACTTACTACAATGTTTTGTAATTCATTAATATATAGGCCAACTCTTGACAACTCTAGTAGAATGGAATCCCACGATTTTTTTTTCTCCATGTAATATACATATAAACTTAGGATTTAATAACTTGCGTTGAGAAAATAAAGATATTAGCTCTATTTGTAGAATTGTGGGTAACTACAGTTGTCGATATGCTTTCTCAATATGCAATCAAGTATAAATTAAAGCTATTGAAACACTACAGTTCACTTTTGTATATCTGTTATTATAAGCGTGAAATCAAGTATAAATTAAAGCTATTGAAACACTACAGTTCACTTTTGTATATCTGTTATTATAAGCGTGAATAGTTCTATCAGCAAGACAGCACCATCCCACGAATTTCCAATAAAAATCAGGTAATATAGACATATATATTTATTGCGGACTTGATGAAAATAAAGGCTCTACATTACAGTCATACCTTAGCAGCAAGGATGAAGATATCATTCGTCCTCGAAAGATACGATTCGTTCCTAGAACATTCACCGAAAGTTTTCTTTGTCATGGATTCAATGATCCCAAGATGGTTAGAGACTCGTGCTGATAACGTGTTGTAATCTCGTTGTTGTATCTACATACATCACATATCAACATTACGAATCAAACATGAAATGTAAAAGTAAATAAACAAGAAAAAGAGATAGGGAGAAAGTGATCATCTCATTTTATTCATCCTCATTTCTCCATCAATTTCCAAACACGGCTGCACCAAAATGGTTACCTACTGTAAAACCCCGAAAATTTGAATATAGTGTGATAAATAATTATAAATATGTTATATGGTAAAAATAATGTATTTTGATGTTTGAGTATGATAGGAATTGATTTGAGATCAATTCAATGTATATTTGTGAATATATGAGTGTAAATGCACAAAACATGCACAAAGGCAAATAGTGATAATCTGAGAATTTTGACCAGTTGAGAATTTCTATGAATGGCATACTGATTCAGTTAGAATATGGAAAAGTGTATAAGACCAAAGTTGTAGGTCTCTTCAATATCTTTCCAACGAATCTTAAATCACCTCATTCCGAGATCGTATGAGAAAGTTACAACATTTTTACCGAACCCCAGTCTGAGCATGGCCCAGAACTCTGAGCAGTCGACCGCCGTGGTCGCTGCGGTCGACCGCTCAGCGTACAGACGCCAGTTTCAGTTCTGTTTCGGGTTGGTTTTATTTATACCAAAACTGGTTGTTACCCTACTTATATATACTCGTTTTGAAGCCCTCAGAACCCTCTTTTGAACCCTAATAGCCTCAGCCCCCTCCTCTCCCTTCCTCAAACCCTAGTTTGCATTTTTTGTGATTTGGGAGGAGCTTCGAAGGATTTTCAGCGGATTTTCTTGGTGTTTCATCAAAGGGGATCGTTCTCCTGCAGATCTAGGAGCTCAAAGGCGAGTAACATCTCGCCCAACTTCACCCCTTTTCGTTTTTATGCTTAGATTTGAGTTTTAATCCGGTTTTTTTTGAGCCCAAATCGTATTTTGTGTAGATAAAGTAGATCTTATGGCATGAGGTGCAAAAATTATATTTTTTAGTCTTAAAAAGTTCACTAATGATGTTTAATTAATGAGATCTTGATCTGAAACGTTTTATGAAGGTTAAACTTATTTCTTTACTGTTTAAGAACTTTTTAAATCATGTTGATTAAGGTTTGTGATTTTTGGTAATGAGGTTTTAACTATTTAAACTTGTTTTTGACTGCCATACATTACTATTGAATTGTTAAAATTAGTTGGTTATAGAAAACCTCAAAATTTGAATGAGTTTCGAAGCTGACAGAAACCCAGACTGGGGTTCTGTCCGATCAGCGGTCGACCGCAGCGGACTCAGCGGTCGACCGTCGCGAGTCTTTGCCAGCAGAATCGCTTCTGCACTTTGAGCGGTCGACCGGCATGACCCCAGCGGTCGACCGCCGCCCAGCTTTTGAGCCCAGTACTTCTCGGACCTGCGAGCGGTCGACCGGAGTGGGCTCTGCGGTCGACCGCCGCACAGATTATTATGCCCTGTTTGTTTTTGTTGAACTTTCCACTCGTTCGAGTGTTTGTCTCGACTTTTTAACTTTGGTTCTCAGTCTACTAAGTATTTATGTATGATAGATGGCTTAAAATGCCAGTTTAGAATCACACACCGAGTTGAGTGTGAAATTGGTATAAGTATATCCCCTCATACATCTCATCGACGATTACTATTTGGCCCATGTGGTGGGAAAAACTAGGTTAAACTCAGTCCTCGTGTTGGACAAGCACTACCCCTTTTGTCCTCGTGTTGGACATACCTCTTAGTCCTCGTGTTGGACATACCTTTTAATCCTCGTGCTGGATATGCATTACCACCCGGTCCAGGCGTTGGACAACTGTCACATCCGGTCCAGGCGTTGGACAATGGTCACTTCCAGTCCATGCGCTGGACAACGGTTATACTCAGACCATGAGTTGGACGTTTATTTCATGTAGTCTATGTTCTGGACACTTAATCGTTTTCTGACACGTCACCCATGTGAGTATGATATGACACTTATGTAGAATACGACATGGTTTTCATGTAGGTCATTTTCTTTATTGTTTCTTGTATTAGACCTCGGGTTTGGTACTTAGGGACTTTCAATTTGAGATACAAGGTATATACATGAGGGTTTCCTTGTTTGGATTATTTCGCTCGACGTACCTATGCTCGTGTTGGAATTTCCTAAGTACTAATACCCCCTTATTCTTAGGACAATTATTTATACATATATGATTTGTGTTAACTGTACTTTCTGTATACAACGAGCCCTCTCCCTTGGGATTGGTTGTGATGTTGCTCGCTAGCGCTTTGACGCTCGTTGTCCCTCCCCCTTTTAGGTCACGAGTCAGGAGCCCGGAGAGTCGCAGGTTGATGGCGACACACTTTAGTGTTCAGCTATCTTTTCTAGCTATGCTTGATGTTGGAGCTCCACTGTAGTATTTGTTAGACATTTGAGGACTATGTTATATATGTTGTAAAGGCTGTATGCCTTATTTCCTTTACTCAGACTTATTGTATTTGAGGCTTGTTGAAAACTCCAGTTTGTTCATTTCAGACATTGACTTTGTACTTCGGTATGTTGGATGATGAAATGTTATTATGATCTCTACCATTTCATCAGTTATTCTCTGTATTATCTTTTACTTGCTTTTGTACCAACACATGTTATTGACTCTACTAGAGTGATAGAATTGTGATGGTGAAACATGTTAATGCACGGTATGGTGCATGGCAGGTTTGACATTTTTGGTTTCACCTAGGACTGCAGCCTTGTGTGAACCCAGGGGCGTCACAAGTAGGTGAAGAGACTTTTTCTAGTAATGTCCACATTCATTGTATTTATATTTACAACAGAGATAAACATTTTCTCCATTCTTATTATATTTAAAAGGATAGAATTGTAATTTCATAGGAGAACCTTTTTCCTTTCTTTTCTTTTCTCGTTTCTTTTTCTAGAGTTTTTCAAAATGTTGACGTAAGCCCATTATTAAAGCTCATTACTTACATATATACCCATTACATTGCATATAGTAAATATAAAATGATAAAGTTTTTTTCAAAAAAATACACATAAATAAATACAATAAAAATAACAATTAGAATTTTAATATGTTCCAATATAAATATTATTGAAAATGTATATCTAGACACTTGTGCTAAAAGTTACTAAGAATAGCTTGAATGAAGTATGAAAAATAAATTCTTCTAAAGAACATCATCTAAGAAAATTATGTCATCGCTCAAATTGAAATATTTATCTTAGTCAATTTCAAATAAGAAAAATAAAATATAGCTCATTAAAATAACATACATCATAATAAGCTCTTGAAAAAAATTTATATCCTTTACGGTTTAAAAATGACTCATTTTATATAAAAATTAGAATTTCTAAATTTTAATTTTTGTTGCACGTGAAATACTGCTATTACTAAACTAAGAAAAATGTTTCAAGTACTTTTCTTTTGAATAATAAAGAGATGGATGTCAAATCTCTAGGCAACGTTGCAAATGGTGGCATTCCAGACGGAATATTCCGTCTGGAATAGTTAAAAAACTGTCTGCAATAGCTATTCCAGACGGAATTCCGTCTGGAATAGCCGTCTAGTTAGTTTCCGTCTGGAAAAGTTTAATCCAGACGAATATCAAATCCCATTATATTCAAATAATACATTCACCAAAATAGTAGAGAGATACATAAATTATTTACAAGTTTTTACATAAATTATTTACAATGACTATGACACTGCAGACACTTCTTCAACTCCTTCCCTATACATTTACTCAAGCCCTCTTCTTCTCCTTCTTCACCTTCTTCCTCATCATCCTGAGTGTAACATAAGGACACAAGCAATGCATCAATATATGTACAAACTGATCAATATATGTACAAACTGATCCATAAGGACACAAGCAATGCATATATATAAAAGAGATACCAATAGTTGAGTACTAATTAGAACAAGCAAAATATGACTCATAGCCTATATTGAATCTTCGCGCAAAAAAATCTACCTCAGGTTTGAGATCGCGATGAATGATTCGGTGAGCATGTAGCACCTCCAGTCCCTCTCCTGAAATAGCAGATCTCATAACAAAGTAAAAAAATTTCACAGGTATTATAAGCAACCGTAAGTGGTTGTTACTTAGGAACTTGCATGATCTAATAATTGACAAATAAAGTATGGAATATGTTGCACATATGACAATATTAATATGGATGCAAGCTAAACAAGAAATGCTATCATAAGTACGAGTAAACTGTTGAAATCTGAATTATTTCCCAACAAAATGGATAATATGGCTAGAATTTGAGAAAACTCCAGTCAATATAAACAACTTAACAATGATGAGCCATCAAATCTTCATGAAATGGTAGGAATTCTCCAGCCAGGGAAACTTACGAAAAAGGAAATGAGTTAACATTAATCATAATGGAGGACAGGTAATGACACAAAACCACGGTATATGATAATTTATGTAAGAAACTCAAGAATAGACACGAAACCACGGTTTATGACAACAAAATGGATTTTTTTTTGTGGATACATAAGCACATTTGTTTGTAGTTATTAGAATAACTAGATACATCAAGATAATTATTATGGAGTCAAATTTGTGAACCATATAATTATGCTTCAGAATAAAGCAATCGAGCAAACACCAAAGAGGAACAATATATGAATCTATTTCTCTTCGTACATTTATGGAATACCTTACTACACATGTTTCAGAAGGTAGCTCCAAAATGTACGACGTTAAGAAATTAATCGAGTTGTCGCAATTAGAGAAGTTGTAATCTCTTAATCAATTAACTAATTAGCAGCTTCAGAATCTTAAGGATTATAATTCAAACATGGCAGACTGAAACATACAAAGAGTCGCTTCAGCAAAAGGTATAATAAAACAGAGAGAGGAACCGCATACAACACAACCCGATTTGTTTAATTTTTAATTCTCATATTAAGACTCCAAGATAACTTTAATCAACCACACGTAATCTTTACAGCTGATGATGCGATCCTAAGCCAATTTTATCATCTAGTAATGCTTTTTTTTAGCATCTGAGAACGTTCTTTTGTCAGATTGCTCCGTAGATTATATAGAGAATAGAGTTACAGGAGTGTGTGATCCCACTCGGCTATGAGTCATATTTTGCACCAGGAAACAGAGATTCAATATAGGCTATATATGAAACCTCATCGTTAAAATTTTGGATTATTTGATGATACATCCCCCCAAATCAACAAGTAAATATCTACTGGATATAACTGTCAATTAGTTGCTAACCAGAAGATTTTCTCCACAAAATTAAATATCTACTGAATATTTGCATCATTACTCCACAAAATTAGTTGCTAACCAGAAGATTTTCTCCACAAAATTAAATATCCACTAAACCAAGTACTGTATCCAGAGAACTAACCCGGTTTATCTGGTTTCAAACATGTTTGTCAGGATTCAAAGCTCTTTTCCTGTAAAAATATGGAGCTGAAGTTTAGTATCAGATCAGTTGTACTGATTGCACTTACTTGGTAGAACACCATGTCTCTATGAGTATCCACAATTCACTAGAACGGAATAAATAATCACGTTTTCTTTTGAAATTATCTCTGTTAAACCCCACTCCTTTTATTCAACCAGGATCCAAATTATTGTTCTTTTAGGTTTATAATTCTACTCCTGCTTCCCAATTTCTTCGTCATTACCACCCCCCCCCCCAAAAAAAAAAAAAAAAACAATCCCTAACTCCTATTTTACTCAAAATCAGAGGAAAATTTGAGTAAACCTGGCTCACCTCCACAATAAACACAAGCACGGCGAATCCATCACCATGGTCACCGCCTACGACTACCCCGCCGCCGTCCAGCTCGACGCTGCCGGCATCGACATCTGCCTCGTTGGGGACTCGGCCGCCTGGAGGAGGCGGAGCGCGCCAGGAGGGGGGTGGGCTCCAGGGAGAAGGTGGAGAAGGCGGTGATGATTTGGTGGGGTTGTAGGGGTCCTCGTCTCCGTCGCCGGAGCGTTGCGCTTGCCGTAGCCTGTGAAGGGGACGAGAGGGAGGAGCCAGAGGTTGAAGAAGAGGGAGAGGATTTCGATTTGGGGGGGGATTTCAATTTTGGAGGGTTTCTTAATGTTATTTTGGGCGGAACTTTTGGGTTGGGAGGGGGAATTTCGATTTTGGAGGGAGGGAACTGGTGTTTATTTCTTTTAATACGAGCCAAAGTATTTTAGACGGAAATTTCCGTCTAGGAGTTATTCTAGACGGAAATTTCCGTCTAGAATGCTTAGTTATATTAAAAAAAAAATTAAAAATATAAAAACCGTCTAGAATATTATCCTAGACGGAAATTTCCGTCTAGAATGTTTTATTCTAGACGGAATATTCTAGACGGAAATTTTCCGTCTAATTTAATACAAACTAGACGGAAAATTTTCCGTCTAGAATATTCCGTCTAGAATAAACGATTTTCTACTAGTTAACTATTATTTTTACAGTTGTTTACAAATAACAAACTAAGTACTTCTCCCGTTCTTATAAGCTTTTTTTTTTATCTAAACAACAATATCCAAAACATATATATAAGAACATGTATAATGTGGTCAGAAAAAAGTTGTTTTATGGTCCAAAAAGAAATAATTACATAGGTATGTGATCTTAACAAGTGTCCTTCTTTAGACTCTTATCATAATCCATAATTGAAGAAAAACGCTGCGTACATCACTTTCTCATGCTCAAATGAAAGATTAAATAAAAGGTTAACACCTTTGGAAAGATAAAATAAAAGGTTATACCTTTTGATCCTAAAAATAGCATCAAATATCAATATAGAACAACTGGCACTACCATAATTAAATCAACACCACCAAAGATAGGGCACCAAGTCTAAAGTGAGATACACATCACGATGGGATTGCAATTGTAATTTGTAAATACCACTTCTAGAACAACATGAAACACACATCAAAGCGGGGAAAATATCTCTTTCTTTCAATATTACTAAGATGGTGTTTGGGGAGGCTTATTTTTTTAGTCAAATTAGCTTTTAAACTAGATTTTTTTATTTCTACCCGTCTGGTAAGATAATAAATAAGTTAGCTTATAAGTGATTTTTTTTAAAAGCTGATGTAAACTAGCTTATAAGCTCACCCGTATAAGTAAAGTTTGATCGAATAAATTATTATTCTACCCAAATAATTTTTATAGCAATTTTATCATAAAAACAAAAAGCAATTAGAAACCAACATAACTTAAAGCTTTTAAGAATAATAAGTTTTTTTCCAAAACGCTCTCTAAAACCGTCTTATTAAACTACTAGTCCTCGGTCAGCAAAATCTTCAATCAAATGATAAGAGATGTCCCATCAAATAAAAAGAGAACAAGGCCAGTACAATGGGATTCAGGGCCCCTCTCATCTTTTACAAGGTATAATGACAAAACGAAACAAAACAAAAAACAACAGTGAGTGAGAAAGACGTGTGGAAACTATCTAGTGATCGTTATATCAGAGTTGAATCCGTCAGTACCGAACGTAGATTTAAATATCTGTATTTATTAAGCAAACGGTTTATATTTTATTTTAGGATTGTTTCCACTGAAAGCCACCTCAAAAATATGGCAATTCTGTTTAAGTTAACTTCGATACTCAATTTGTACATAAATCATGTTTTTTTTTAAGTTACAATCAACCATCAAAATTCACTTTTCTTTTAAGTTTTTTTTTTTCCAATTTTGCTGTAACATTCCGTTATCAAATATCAAAGCTATGTTTGGATTGAGACTTGTTTTATCCCGAAATCTGACTTATTAAAAGTTTGGATGATCATAGATCCTTTCGTTAATTTGCATCATAGTTGTGACACTTATTTCACCAATGCATGAATCCTAGAATCTATTAATCCAATTAAAAATGTATACTTTTTGGTGAATCACTAATGCAGCATATCAATACCACTATTACTTTCTCAAGACAAGAAGGTATCCAGTAGGCCCAGATTGTAATCCATTTCGTTAACATTTGCATCAAAAACATGTATAAAATCAAATTAATGCAAAGATATCTAAAAATTAAGCAATCTAGCAATTTAAATTTTCTTCACGCGTCATTAATGTTTAAACTAAACCACTGGTTACTTTTCCAAGCAAGAAGGATCTAGTGGTCACTATCCATTTCGTTAATATTGCTTCAGAGTTATATTAATTATTAGATCAATATACAATTGATACTTTTTTGATATATCATTAATGTAGCAGATTGAGACGATAGACTGAGATCAATGAATATTTTCTCAAAATAAAAACATATCCAATAGTACCAATCCATCTCATTAATATTGCATCATAGTTATGTTAACTATTAGATAAATGCACAAAACTCCCTAATTCTATCAATCTATTTGTTTGAATTTCTTTATTGTATCAATTTTTTGGGTAGAGCAGATTGAGACCATTTGTTTGAATTTCTTTATTGTATCAATTTTTTGGGTAGAGCAGATTGAGACCATTTGTTTGAATTTCTTTATTGTATCAATTTTTTGGGTAGAGCAGATTGAGACCATTTGTTTGAATTTCTTTATTGTATCAATTTTTTGGGTAGAGCAGATTGAGACCATTTGTTTGAATTTCTTTATTGTATCTTAAGAGGAGAGATGGATTGAACTCAATTTGGCCTTTTAATATTTTACAATGATTGGATCTCGGCAATAGTGCTAGATGAATCAATTTGTATATAGTGTAGTCTGTCTGATCACAAAAAAGGGTGGAGTTTCTTGTGGTTGGGTGGGGACAGCACTATATTACGTGGGCCGGTACATATGCTTAACTGGAGACAATGACTTGAGGAAAAGAAAGGGTGAGTGATTTGAGTACAATCAAGAGAGTGCACGCTTGCATGGTTTCTCCTCACAAAAGCCAATGCCTATGCTTTGCCTCTCTCAATGCATATAGCCCATGCTTGCCAACTGCCAAATTTCCCAATATTTTTTTAGTAAATGAAAAATTTTATTCATCACCAATATGAAAATTTATATACACATCAAGAATCTCATCACATAACGTATATGAGATATCTATAAAACCTGTAACTAAAGCTCACAGATACACATATACTGATGTAGGACGCTTAATCTGAGTTGGAGTCTATTTAGATTAGAAAATATAGATTATGAAATAAATTTAATTTTAGAGTCAGATTAGATTAGGAAACAAAATCAATTTTGATTCATGATTTGTTTCCTCTATTATAAGGAGTCTTTTTAGGATAGAATTTGACACTTTCTTTCTTTCTTTGTAATTCTAGTCTTACTAGGAATCTTATTTGATACTTTCTATTTTTGTAATTCTAGTCTTTTTAGGAGTCTTATTTGTTTTTCTATTTAAGAAGAGTCATGTAACCCCAAAGGAGAATAACTTTGCATCAATAAAATTTCTCTTTTTAATATTTTCTTCGTGGATTCGAAGTTCTTCGTGGATTCGAAGATCGTTCTTTGTGGATTCAGAGAACACCCTTGGTGGATTCCGAGGTTACAACTTTCGCGCTGCGTCAATTGGTATCAGAGCCTTGTTCCTCCGATCCGATGACAGGTGATGAAGCCCCTATTCCTCGAACTGAGTTCGACGTGCTAAGGTCCGACGTAGATCAGCTGAAGACCAATGGTGATCAGATGAGGGCTGCCATAGAGCGACTTACGATGGAGGTAGAGCGTCTGAACACGGTAGGAGTTCAAAATCACATTGATGGTTGCCAACAACGTGATCCGACTCCATATGATAAATTCAACAGGGACAATGATCTTAAGCAAGACATTAGAGTTGGGAAGAACAATGAAGAAGTAATAAAGCAAGAAGAACCACCTCCAGAGCACAATATCTTTTGTACGAGATGTACCGTGATGCAGAAGATTTGTAATGTTATTATTGACAGTCACAGCGGAAGAAATCTTGTCTCTTGGCGTATGGTGAATAAGTTAGGTTTGGAGACAGAGAAACACACACCTCTCGTTAAGATCGATTGGATTCACAAGGGCAATGATGTGCAGAACGATGAAGTGTGTCGAGTATCTTTTTCTATCGGTCGAACTTATGTTGATGATGTTTTGTGTGAAGTGGTCGAGATGGATACTTGTCATATGATTTTAGGTAGGCCATGGCAATTTAATAATGGAGCTACCCATAGGAGCAGAGACAATGTTTATATCTTTAAGAAAGATGGACGTCAAATTGTGCTCAAGTCTCTTACAGAAAAGGAGCCATTTAAGATAAAAGCTACTAGTCTCTTACAGAAAAGGAGCCATTTAAGATAAAAGCTACTGAGAAGAAGAAACCTTTGGTGACAAACAACGAGGCTTTAACAGAAAACTTGAAGCTGGTGACAAACAACGAGGCTTTAACAGAAAACTTGAAGCAATCTGAAGAGGTCTATCATTTGGTTGTAAATGAAGAACATGCCTCTACCAAAATTCCTCCTAAGGAGCAAACACTTGATATGCATGAGATTCATGATGGTGATATGGTAGTGAAGATGGATGATACGCATGATATTCTTAAAGTGGTTGAGAGTGATATTGCACATATTGATGTTGTCCCGATAGGGGAGAAGGATAAAATAGAGAGTGATGCAATTGATGGTATGTGTGAATTGCTTGGTGGAGGGCTACAGACAAAGGAGATGAAAGAATTGTGTATGGAGTATGACGCGAGATTCTCTTCTCTGGAAGCAAAGATTGTTAATAATTTCAAGATGATGATACTTTCAGCACTAGAATATGAGAAGCAACATGAAACATATTTTGAGGAGCTTTTCAAGTCAATTGCAGATCCACATGTTATCAGACACGTAACCATGGTGTGTGAAAGATTTATTCAAGAATTTGAGTCAGAAGAAGTCCTAGCTGAAGAGACACGTA